TAAGAGAGTAGTGAAACTCGCGATCGTCTACAAAATTAGGCATTATAATTAGTAATTAGAGTGCATTTGGTTTGGGGGAGGGGAGAGGAGGATGAACTCCCTAACTCTTCTGCCGTAGCAATGAATATATTTGATACTAAAATGTTTTCATTTTCCTAGTGGGCCATTTACTGTCAAATGAATGCCCTTAACCTCAATTTACAGTAGTTACCCAAAACAGTATATCTTCACTGACTGAATACCAAGAAAAGCACATCATCCTACTCATCGACCTTAACAACATCATCTTTGGGCCCTAATTAAGAATGTGTTTGTAGGTTTGCACACGCACACCCATCAAACGAAGGACAAGTGTTCTTTTATACCCTATGTATGTGATACAATGGGCTGCAGTTGAAAAAGATTCCTCATTTTGGAAAGAGGTCATAACTTTGTATAGTAGTCTCCTGTCTCAAGATTGCTTGACACAGCTGATCCTACATCCGTCTGAAAGAAGCAGGGGTCGGGGGCGGACGTGACATCTTCCTTTCGGTTTTTTTTTTAAGGAAATACTTTTTTTTTTTTTTTTTAATTTTATGGAGACAGTGTCTCGCCATATTGCCAAAGCTGGCCTCGAACTCCTGGGTTCAAGCAATCCTCCTGCCTTGGCCTCCCAAAATGCTGAGATAACAGGCCTGAGCCACTGCGCCCAGACTCCTATTTTTCATCAAATAAAATACAACCGTTCAGAGGAGCATGCTCAGCAACCGCAAGGACCAGTCCCAGCGCATCCAAGGTGCCAGGAGGGAAAGGAACAAAACTCCCCCAGGTAAGCTGTTTTCCCCACGCCAAGGGGCAGTCGCTCACCACCCAAGTCGCAGCTGGGGAGAGACTCACCCGGCGACTGCGCGCTTCGCACTCGAGTCTACGTTAGGAAGCCTATGACCCTCTCCAGGGCCCCTGCGCTTGGAAGCCTCGGACGCTACTTGGAGAACCAGCGAACCCCGGCAGCACGGAATTCGAACCGCCGCGGGAGCCGTTGGGACACGCCTACCCGGCCGCTGCCCCGCCCCGGCGCAGACTGCGTGAGGCGCCGCCGGAGGCGCGGGGCTTGCCGGGGATCGTGGTCGGCGAGCGCGTCCGAGCCCACTAGCCGAGCCCGCCCGGGACTACATTTCCCACAATCACCGCCAGGATGCCCATTGGTGGGGGAAGCCATGGGAACCAGAGGCCGTCAGTGGTAGAGGCGGGCGGCGCTCACGCCTGGCCTGAGGGGGACGAGACTGAGGCGGTGGCGGAACGGGGCTGCTGGCCCCGCCCTGAGTCCCTACCCTTTGGAGGACTGCGCTTCTCCTTCGGAGGGAGTGTTCGCCGCCGCCGCCGCCGCCGCGGCCGCCACTTGGAGTTTCTTCAGACTCCAGATTTCCCTGTCAACCACGAGGAGTCCAGAGAGGAAACGCGGAGCGGAGACAGCAGTATCCCACGCCTCTTGCAGCCCGGATCACCCCAGCAGGGATGGGCGACAAGACCTGGCTGCCCTTCCCCGTGCTCCTTCTGGCCGCTCTGCCTCCGGTGCTGCTGCCTGGGGCGGCCGGCTTCACACCTTCCCTCGACAGCGACTTCACCTTTACCCTTCCCGCCGGCCAGAAGGAGTGCTTCTATCAGCCCATGCCCCTGAAGGCCTCGCTGGAGATCGAGTACCAAGTAAGTGCGGAGGATAAACCAGCCTCCTTCCTTTAACCCAGCTACACTGCGTTGTCGCCTCTCACCCGTTTAGAAACTTCTGGTGGACGGCCGGGGTGGTGAAGAGGCGAGGGCCGTCCGGGAAGCCGGCCCGCTCTGCGCAGGCGCGCGAGGCGAGGCAAGGCGAGGCTCACGCTGAGGCCGGGGACCCAGAACTTAGGCTGGACCTGGAATTGACAACTACCCCGCCTAATCCCCTTTCCTTCGGTCGGAAAGAGGCCAGAACTGGTGATGTCGCTGGCTTTTCTGTTTCCTAATTCGCCTATCGCTTTTCTTAGCCACTACACGCTCCGATACTGAGAATTTCACAATGCGGAACTGATACACGTTCTCCTTCATCATTGGACGAGGTGATGACACTTGTTTGAATCACCCCCACCCCTTTCACACAATTCAGATGTTACAGATCTTCACTGTCTTTGCTTCAGTTAAGGGTTTTTGAATTATGATCATGTAATTATCACTAAGCCCAATTTTGAAATTTTTTGGAAGAGGCTGTTGCTATATTTAATCATACATTGCCGTTTAAGTTATATATGCATTATTTTCAAAAGATCAAATCGTATATTAAAACTTTATAACCTTTCCTTTCTTTTCATTGAGCATTGTAAGCATTTCCCTCGTGTCATTTTTTTTTGTGGGGGGGGGGTTTGTTGTTTTTTTTTTTTTTTGAGACGGAGTCTCGCTCTGTTGCTCAGGCTAGAGTTGGAGTGCAGTGGCGCAATCTCGGCTGACTGCTGCAACCTCTACCTCCCGGGTTCAAGCGATTCCCCTGCCTCAGCCTCCCGAATGGCTGAGATTACTGACGTGCGTCACCACGCCCAGCTAATTTTTGTATTTTTAGTAGAGACAGCGTTTCACCATGTTGGCCAGGCTGGTCTCGAACTCTGGACCTCAGGAGATCCTCCCGCCTCGGCCTCCCAAAGTGCTGGGATTACAGGCGTGAGCCACCATGCCCAGCATGTTTTCTTTTTAGTATCTGCATAATATTCTTGCTGGGAATTACCTTATTTTATGTAGTCATGCTAGTAGGGGGTAATTTCTTAGAAGAAATCTTGTTCGTTCCACACAGCAAATTTCGATGTTTTCAGGTAGCAGTACAGGAAAAAAAAAAACAAAACAGCATTGATGTGTTTCATTTTTCAGTGTTTTAGAAGTCAATTATCATCAAATGTTAATTTTTTAACTTGATGTAGAGAATTGTTTTTAAATACCAGGTACTGTCACATACAGAGCAAAATTAAAAGTTGTAGAATTTTTTATACGATGAAACTTAAGGATTAAGTTGTATATAGGTACACAAGATAAGCACAGAGAAGAAAATATCTAAAATCACATAGTGACCAAAACTGAGACTAAAACTCAGTGTTTCTTGATTTCCAGTAAAGTTCAAAAGTTCAGCATTTACTGAACAGTTAATACGTGCCAGGAATTGTGCATGGAGGGGGCGGGAGACTAGGGGAAGCGGGGTTGTGGGGGTTGTAGGTAAAAGAGAAAGAATCCCTCTTCTCAAAGAGCTTAATAAGGGTTACTGGCTCATAAACAGGTAATTTCAATAAAGGATGGCTAAGTACCAGTAGAGGAGGATCACTTCTAAGGGTTTCAGAAGAGGATTCCTGGAGAAAATAAAATTTAATCCAGAAAGATGCTTAATTGAGACGAAAATGCAAGGAACAAGGGACATTTCAGAAAAAGGAACAAAAAGACCCATAGTTCTTAAAATACATAGTGTAAGTGGGGATGGTTAGTGTGTAGTGGACACTACAAGTACTGCGTTTGTATTAGACTTTAAGACATATAAAGTCTAGGGTGGGAGTAGCAGAAAAGGACATCGAGAGGCCAGAAGGCTGGGGTCTTGAAGCCTCAATCATAGCCTTGTTTGCCATGCTGTGTAGGTTTTCCTTAATTTTGTGCAAGTCCATTTAAGATTTAAAGAGATCACTGGATGCAGTGTGGAAAATGGACTTAAGGAGAGCAAAATTGGAGTCAAGGAAACCAACTAGAGAGCTAGTGAAATAGTCTAGATAAGAAAACAATTTGTATTAATTAAAAAACTTCAGTATTTACACACATTAGGGAAGATATCTATTTTAACTACTGTCCTCTTACAGTTAAGAGCACCAGCTCAACCTTAGCCTGGGTTCAAATCTTGAGTCTGCCTACTTAAAACTTATGTGATCTTCTCACTTGTAAAATAGAGATAATAATTGTAACCACATCATAGAGCTGATTTGAAAAACATGAGTTAATAAATGCTCATATTCAATGTAAAGTGGTCTATTAACATATGCTAATAGATCATCCCTGACACATAGTAAATAGTCAGTGAATGTTAGTTTTACATTTATACCTCTATAGTTACGTAGCTGGCTTGGTTTAGCTTTATTCTTTACATCTTTAGTGACTCTTAAAGGTACTGTTCTTTTTTTTTTTTTTTTTTTTTTTGAGACAGAGTCTCCCTCTGCCACCCAGGCTGGAGTGCAGTGGCGCAACCTAGGTCCACTGCAACCTTCATCTCCTGAGTTCAAGTGATTCTCCCGGCTCAGCTTCCCGAGTAGCTGGATTACAGGCATGTGCCACCACACCCAGCTAATTTTTGTATTTTTAGTAGAGGCGGGGTTTCACCATCTTGGCCAGACTGGTCTCAAACTCCTGATCTCAAGTGATCCGCCAGCCTCAGCCTCCAAAGTTCTGGGATTGTAGGTCTGAGCCACCACGTCCGGCTGGGACTATTCCTTTAAAACATTTTCCCTAAACAATTTGTTTTGATTGAGGAAAGAGGTAAAATCACTTAATATATGTAATCCTAGACAGTGTTGGTGAGATGTGTAGGGTAAAGATCATCTTCCACCCTACGTTTGCATTTCCCAACTTGTTTAATTTCCTAGTAACTACATCCTACTGATTTTTGTCTTGAAGTTAGTTTTTAAAATATTATGGAACAGACAATCCAACTTTGTCCTTGGTTACTGTGACATACTGAAAATTTTACTAATTTCTTTTTAGGTTTTAGGAGAATACTTTTTGGATAATTGACTAGCCCCACATTATATTGATAGAGGTTCTTGAAAACTTTAATGCCAATTCATGTATCTTATGAATAAAATAGAGCATCCATTTAGAAATTTAAGTCATTCTTGAGTGCTTGATATGTGTCAACACTATCCGAGGTGCTAGGGATACAACGGTGAGTGAAAATATCGGCTAGGTGCAGTGGCTCACACCTGTAATCCCAACACTTTGGGAGGCCAAGGTGGGAGGATCACTCAAGCACAGGAGTTTCAGACCAGCCTGGACAACATAGCAAGACTCCATCTCTACCAAAAATAAAGTAAGCCAGGCATGGCAGCACACACTTGTGGTTCCAGCTACTTGGGAGGCTGAGGTGGGAGGATCACTTGAGCCCAGGAGGTTGAGGCTATGGTGAGCTGTGATCATGCCACTGCACTCCAGCCTTGGTGACAAGAGCAAGACCCTGCCTCAAAAATATATATATATGATATATGTACGGTATTTTTTATATATATATATATATCTATATTTGTGTGTGTGTGTATAGTCCATGCTGTCATACAATCAAGTATGGGGACAGACATTAATCAAATTATTACACAAATACATGTCAAAGTATTTAATAGGGGGAATGAAGGTAAGTTCATAAGACTGAGTGGGCTCAGTAGGAGGACTTCATTTTATCTGGAAATTGAGAGACATCCAGAAGTAGAGTTAATTTCTATAGAATTATCAGGCTTTCACTAGGCATAAGGGAATGAGTGGGACAAGACAATGGGTAAAAAAGAAAAACAACGTGCCAAGATACTAAGGAAAAAGAGAGAAAGATACCTTTGAGGTCCTGAAAGACAGGATACAGAGAGAGAACAGTGGTATAAGTCTACTCTAGAGAAGTCAGTAGCAACAGCAATCAGATCATGCTGGGCTTTTAGGTCCTTGTTAAGGATATGGGTCTTTTTGCAGAGACCAGTAAGAAGCCACTGAAGAGTTATAAGCAGGTTAACTTGATTCGTGTTTTTTAAAAGATCATTTTGGCCGCAAGGTATTGAGCCTCTCTGTACTAGTTTCTATATACTTATAAAATAACAATAGTCACCTGCTCCCCACTACATATTATTATGAATAAACATGCTAATACATGTAAAAGGAATGGTATCGAGCACCTAATAAGCACTCAAAAAATGTTAGCTAGAAAATAAACCCTGAGCCTAGAACAATACCTTTTTAAGGGCATAATAGGCACTAAAAAGTATCTTTGAATGAGTGAACCAGATGTTTACCAAATATGTAAAACTATCTGGGTGGGTTGTTGGGAGAATATAGCTGTATCAATTTTTTAAAATTTTTATTAGTCTTTTCATTTTTGTATAGAGCTAAATTTCAATATTTTCTAGTAAACTGGCCATTTCATCTAATTTTTAAAATTTACTTACATAATATATCTGATGCCATTTGGAATACCTCCTATTTCCATTTTATCTGCAGGTATACATGTCTAATATTATATGTATATATATGTATATATAAAGTATATGTAAATATAAATATGTATATAAAAAAAAACTCAAAAGCCATATATATATAGGCACAAGGGAGTAAGTGGAACAAGACAATGGATAAAAAAGAAAAACACATGCCAAGATACTAAGGAAAAAGAGAGAAAGATACCTTTGAGGTTCATTTATATATATATATATGTGTATATATATAAATGACTTTTAAGTATTATGTATATCAGTATATATATAAATAGGTGGGTTTTGGGGAGAATAATATATTTAATAATTTGATATATATATATTTGAGTTTTATATATATATACACACACATATTTATTTATTTTTATATATACACACACACACACACACACACACACACATGCACACTTTTTTTTTTTTTTAAAGAGATAGGGTCTCCAGCAATCCCATTACTGGGTATATACCCAGAGGAATATAAATCATTCTACCATAAAGACACATGCATGCGAATGTTCAGTGCAGCACTGTTCACAATAGCAAAGACATGGAATCAACTAAAAGTCCAGCAATGACAGTTTGGATAAAGAAAATGTGGTACATATACACCATAGAATACTACGCAGCCATAAAAAAGAATGAGATCATGTCTTTTGTGGGAATATGGGTGGAGCTGGAGGCTATTATCCTTAGCAAACTAGCGCAGAAACAGAAAACTAAATACCACGTGTTCTCACAAGTGAGAGCTAAATGATAAGAACTTATGAACACAAAGACGGAAACATGAGACACTGGGGTTTACTTGAGGAGGGAGGGTGGAAGGACAGAGAGGCGCAGAAAAGATAGCTATTGGGTACTGGGCT